AAGAATGTATCTCTCTTTCACCCACACACATATAGAAAACTTCGTCACTCATACACTCAGGGAGGGCAGACAGCAGCCATCTTAATAACTGATGCCCCTTCCTTTTATTTCTGTTTTTAAGACCAAAGCTTCTACATAAATTTTGCCTGAATCTGTTTAAAATCATGCAACTGTGAAGTAAAGACGAACGTCCTTTGGATAATTATAAAACACGGTGACTGAATCAGAGGCAGCAGGGGCTCAAACAACTCAGCGATAGGGTAAAAAAAATAATAATTCATAACAAAAATTAGTCTACATCACATTTGGAAATCAATTTGTTAAATAACTTTGTCTTAGTATTGATTTCTACATTCTTGCGAGGCTTTGGTTTTATTTCATTTTCGATAAAAGAACCAAATATTCGTTACTCTGAAATCAATTTTATTTTTAAAAATGTTGCCAAAGATTTTAAAAGCTTAATTATTTATTGTGGATTATTTGTAGAGGAAAATACACAGAGGCCTGTATGAGAAGAGAGTTATTGTGTTGTTGTAATGTGAAAATGGGGGTGGGGGGTGAAATTATTTTTGCACTAGAGTTTTAGCAATTAACCATCCAAGCGATCTAAGCACAGGAAGCCTTTAAAATACATAATAATAATGATCATAATATTGCATTTAGCTCCAACTCTTTTGTTTTAAATTCATGTTATTGCCTTCCACTTCAACTCCCACCTGACGAGCATTTACGCAGCACGCAGAGTGTAACAAAAGACTGATAGATTACAGAGCAGGTAGAGGCTGGCTCTCAGAGGACCCACACTACATTACACAGTTCGTCTATTAACTGTATTACAGCACGGGAATGAGCTGCAACAGGAGGCGGGACATGATGGTCTTACGCACCAATCAAGAGCAGCACTGCAGCTGCAAACACTAATGCCAAGTCGAACCTGACGTCAGTTACTAACTAACAACAACAATTTAATGTGCTCAAATACAATATGAGCACATTAAATCCTTAAAAAAAAGAAAAAATAAGAAATAAACCTAAGATTTCGTTTTTTGTTTTTGTTTTTAGGTTTTTAGGTGTACAGTTTATAAATGAAAGATTACAATCAGCTAATAATTAGCTAATAATTTTCTAAACTATTACCATAATAATAGCAGGACTGTTGAGAGATTCTTTCAGCAGCCTGATGCAGCAAACCCCCCAATAAATGTAACAATAAGTTTAACGGAAATAAATAAATACAAACAAACACAAACCATTTGAGTGAAGGCCTTCGTTTTTTTACATAAGGATTTATGAGCGATGTATTATGTATGTTTATTTTGATATTATGGCTTGAAAACATTTTTACTTCCGGGAGCAGTGCGCCTGGTCAGTGCGCTCCTCTGCACTGCTGAGCGTCATTTATTGCGTCGATATTTGATACAACCCCACAGGCTTACTGCATGATCCAGATTCAGAGGATTATTTTTCATTGCGTTTAAATTTTATTTAAAAAAATTTTTTTAATTGTGTTAACTGAACCTCAGAGTCTCACTTAACTTTGGTGAGAAATTATTTAGACACACGCATTTCATACAAAACAATACACAATGCTTCAGATGGGCTGCCAACCAAGAGCTAAATAAGTTGATCTTAACGACTAAAAGCACATTTACGGCGACTGGTAGTTAAGTATAAATCACGTGCTGCATAAATCAGCCCACTTGACATTGATGCCACGCACATGTTATTACTCTGCTCATGTTATGCTGTATATAATGACACGGATGTACAGTAATGAGTAATATTTCGATGTTTTTCAATGTTATTTACAAGTTTATTGTAGCTAAATATGTGGTAGAAAAAAATATAATAAATAAAGTATACTGTTGAAGTGTGAAGAAGTTTTGCTTAAATAAAATAGTACCTCCATATTCTCGACTATCTGAGAAATCCAAATCAGTTTGGTTGAAGCATCAGCTCCTTGGAGGAGGAACCAATTGATTACAAAGCGACTCAGACACTTTGGAAGGAGAAAGGGCCCTCTGTTGTTTCAAACCAGCTCCTTTAACTTCCCAGAGTGTAGGGGCCCAGAGACAGGGCTGTGTGTGCTTGCAGTAAATGGCTGCACAGTGACTCCTCTGAAGCAGCGGTGGGGTGGGTGGCGAGGAAAGACTTTTAGGATACATTAAATCAGCCTGATTAGAAGTTTAGGCAAGGGCGAGGCTCGGGTCTGGCTGAAAGGCTGCCGGGTAGCCCCTTGAGTGATACTATTCACATCCTGGGAGAAAGGTCAGTGTCAGAGAAGTTCACAGGCCCCATCTCCTTTCTTATGCTAAAGGATCATACACATAGGGCTCATTCACAGGCTGGAAAGGCATAAACAGCTCCTACCAACTCTAACTTTCCCTCCAAAATGTTTGGATTCCTCATCGTGAGCAGTGAAGTCCTGCATCACGGCTTCTCTCCCTTAAGGGAGCAGCATGTGAGAATGTTGCTATGAAATAAAGGTTAAATATGTTGTTATTTTTATGGAAATCTGCTGAAAAAATATAGAATTTATATCTTTAATCTTTATATTTTATTTTCTCTTCTAACATGAGGGGGACAGGCTGTTGTTTTTATTGTATAGTGCTCAAATTCCTTTTTTGTGTTAACATGATTTATTAACTTCTTCATGCATTTCATTTTCTGTCTCAACTCCACTGGTCACTTGGGAATAGCAGGAAATAGCCACTTAATTAGCGGCCCTTGACCTTTGGTTCTGGCTAAAGCTTTTTTTGACCTCAGCATCTCTCCGGCCTGTTTATTGTCCTCTGGGGGACTGCCCAGATCGTGACCCCTGACCCCTGCTGACATGGGACTTCACCAACAGGTCCCTGACCGGCTGTGCCACCTCACAGGACATTCATCAAAAAGCAATATTTACACCGAGCAACAGATTAAAGCAAGACGTTACCTCTGCAGAAGGATGATGTGGATACTGAATGTGCCATAATTATTCTCTGAGCTCTCTAATGTTTGTTTGCAGGGAGGAAACATAAAGCACACATTTGCAGGGCATGTAGGGTAAACCCAGCAGAATATGAAACATTTTTAATGATGAAAATCATGGCAGTGTAACAGTTTTTACAACATCATTTGAACATTTGTGCTTTCCTTCCATCCAGGCTCTACAGAGGCTGATTTCGCTAATTGGGTTCCATTCATCCAGAGAGGGGGAACTAATCACCAAAATCAGCCGCTGTAGTGTTTAGATAGATTGAAAACATGCTGACTCCTGCGTGGGGCTCCATGAGTGAGAACTGCACTGCCATGTGATGTTAGATTTGAGGAGATGGGTAAGAAAACAGTGCTGTCACAAGCTATTCACAAGCAAGTAACTGTGTAATTACAGAGTTTACTGCAAGATGTTTGTATCCGCACTTTAGTCTATTTGTTTTCTCACACTAGTCCATACATTATTGATTAGACTACCTCTATTTTTATTTTCTAAGTGTCATGTTTAATATATACAATATAAATAGATGATTTATTATATGGGTTAGAAGCAGGTATTCTGGCTTAGCAGCTTAGCTCTGTATTGCTGTTTATATTTCTGCTGCTGTGACACCTGCATATAGGATCAATAACTTCTTTAAAACATACAATTAAAATCAAGCTTTTTTTTCTTTTTCTTTTTTCAGTCTTTTATGAATTTTAATTGTTTCATCACTGCTTTTTAAATTGAAAAAAGTGTCATTCATTCATCCACTTTAAAACAATAATAGTCTCCACTTAACGGCTACACTTAACGGCTACCCTGAGGTACCCCTGAGCAAGGTACCGTCCCTACACACTGCTCCCCCGGGCGCCTGCTTAGTGGGCTGCCCACTGCTTCACTGAGTGAATGGGTCAAATGCAGAGAAAAACAAGTAATTTCCCCATGGGGATCAATAAAGTATCCATTATTATTATTATTATTATTATTAATTTCAAAAGATTATATACATATTATATCGTTTTAAAATTTGTATTAGAAAATAATGCAATGTAATACAGTCAGAAGATTAAAATGAAAGGCGAATGGAGCAATGATGTTATTCATGTTTATTTAGTTATTAGTCAAGTACATTAAATTGCAAAAAGAAGTTATTCACAACTCAGTTGTTGAAACTAATGAGCATGTCTGTATTTTTTCTTTTTTTCTGTCACTTCTAAGCGTTTTGTTTGTTACACAAAGCGTGGAAATAATCCCCTGCTGACCCCGCGCGTGTCCATCTGTTGTTTGACTCCGGACAGAGATCAGTCGGACAGTGATTGAGGTCCGACTGACACCCGGACGGCTTGTAATCCCCACACCCATCCACCCACCCACCCAAAAAACTGATTAATTGTCCAAACGTGGCTGTGGCCTTCACTCACACTTAAAACTCAGACTCGCTTAAATTTATACTTACATTTTTATTGCACTGATTTAGACCTTTAACTATTCTTAGAACACAAGGCAAACGTGTGGGTGAAATGTTTCAAATAAAATCCACTTGATAAATAAAATATGAAGGCTATTATTATTATTATTATTATTACATTGTGTTTAATAGCGGACAGGGTCGTTTTGGCAACTGAGGTTTTCGGCTGATGAACTTTTCATTCCCACACACGGTGCTTTGTCTGCTCCTCCTAATTAAAACTTAATGCGGGGTCACTCAAACACCTTCTCACGAGAGAGAGCGAGCGAGCGAGAGAAAGAGAGAGAGGGACATTATAAATATGTGTGTGTTTCGTGTTTTATTTTCCCAGCTCTGTAATAATCCAGCCTCACAATATGGTCTTTCCTCGCCTATCGGATCACCAAAATAAAGCACGGTGTTGCTCGAAAACAAGAATCAAACACAGGGGTAAAGTTTTCATATTATTTTATTATATTATTTAAGTAGCTGTTACTGACAAGATATTAATAATAAAATAATCTATATTTATTAAAAAATACACTTTAGACATATTAAAATAAAATATTTAATTAATTTAAAAAAGCAGGCATTTACTGTGAAAATATACTAACATAATTTAGTGGGGAAAAAAGTGATTTATTAACAGTTTTTAAACAATTTAAACAAAAGACATCAGTATAAACATATCAGATCATATATGGCATTACATTCACAATGTCTTAAAATAGGGTTTTGTTGTTTTTGCTTAACCGAGGCCTTGATCTTGAATAATGTGTTTCATAGTAAACCTGCTGTTTCTACTTTATTTCGATGATACACTCAGGTTTCAGTTTCGTTAAATTTTATATTCTGTTAGGACAACAGTCTGATGAGTTTTCTTCCAGGCCTTCAGAGTCCTACAGAGTGCAGAGATGCAGGTCCTGTCCCATCCTGAGGAAGAAAGCATGGAGGGAATCATTAGCATGAGAATCGAACTTGGCTCCATAAACTCTTCTGCCCTGAATGAGAGTAACGTTTCACATTTTGGGTGCAAAAAGCAAAGTGAAGGTATTCTTGCAAACAGTCTCGATTTAGGAACACATTCCACTGACAACATAATATGAAAATGTGCTAGTTTTGTCATGAGCTAGTACGTTAAGCATTCATAATTAAAAGCTTTATTTGTAGAGCATTTTCTTGAGCTTACAAAATGCTGAGCAGTCATTAAAAACAGCAAACATTTACAATGAAACAAATTAACCCAAAGAACAAAGGGCCACCGGGTAAAACAACACATAAAAAGGGTAAATAACATCCCCATATAAAAACGAGTCTGTGGGGAAACGTTTAAGAATAAAATCTGAAAACGATTCTGCAAACCGAAGGAGCTCTTTGGTTATTCCAAAGGTTGATGAGTCTGTTTTGCCAATAGTGAATTTGTTGTGCATGATTTCTTTTTTCTTTCTTTTTTAATTTATACATTAAAGATTGTAAGCAGTGTTTCAGAAAAACAAACTTCCTTTTCATGCACTGTTAAAAAAAAGAAAAAGACCCCTGTGCTCTGCATGTTGTTCTTCTCTTCCATTTGCAGGCTGTATGCATGAAGGGATCTTAAGGCTTTTATCCCTACAGGGAACCAGCCCGAACTCTTTCTCTGTCAATTTCCACCCACTCCCCAATTCAGATGAGCCCTTTCTCCCACCAACCCCACAATGAAGGATTTGTCCTCGTTCTCTTTGTCCACCTCTGATATCTTTTTTTTGACTGCTCCCTCTCTGCAGACAGCATGCAGCGTATGCAAATAGGAGCTCTTTTATTCGTGAGACCCCTCCCCTGAATGAATGCAACCTTAAATGAGGCCACACTTGCGCACGCTCACAGAGGGGGCACGGAACATGCACATAGTACAATCAGTGGATTTGCATGCCCACTCTGACACGCAGTCACTCAAACATCAAACACTGACCATTTCAAATGAGCAGACACAGAAATATACATCGCAACAGATTATTTTATCCACAGGTTTATCCAAAGAGATCAATAACTCATGGGTTGAGGTTGGGGCCACAGAAGATGATTTTCACCGTTATTAATTACATCACAGTCCTACATGCAAAGTTGGAGATTGCATTGCACAGATATTGCCTTGTAAGAACAACAATAGTGAGGCTTAAGCGAAACGGAATCATGCACTATGTGCATGTGTATAGTGAGTTTTCTGCTCACAAGCGATGCTTTGTTTGCTGTGTAATTTCACTATTTGACAATACGCTGGATATTTTTTGTTTTTTAGTGAAATGTTTTCTCTGCGGACTTCTTCTGACTGCAGGGAGCACGTTTTATCTGAAGAGCTCTGTTTGCAACGTAGGATTGGTTTCCTTTCTCACAAGTGCTTTATCACAGTATTTGTATATTAGGTGACATGCACACATGCGCACGCTAACACACACACACACACACACACACACACACACACACACACACACAATGAGACAGAAGAAGTCTAACAGAATGTGCAGAGGAAGAGGTGGAGACTCAAAAGATTGGATGAATTATAACAGCGTCTGATGAACATAAAGCATTCTCTCACAACGAACATTCCCAAGCTGGCCCGTGCCATCTGTGAGTGTGTGTGAATGAGTTAGAGCTTGTGTGCATGTGTGTGTATCATTTGGGGGGGGGGGGGGGGGGGGGTTGACGTCTGCTGGACAGCTCTGACAGTTCGGCCTTTTCAGCCTTACATTACTGAGCCGACCAACCTCTTTCCCATAGCAACACTAACAGAGGTCAAAGGCTATGTACCCCGCACCCACCACCACCACCTCCTCCTCCTCCTCTTGTACTCCGGGGTGGTCACAGACACTCTTAACTCCCTGACCGGCTGCAGACAGAGCGGTCGCAACCATGAACTTGAACTTGAATTGATTTCTGACACAGAGTTGGGGTCGTACAGCCATTTTGCATCAGACGCTGTACTCTGCACTTTCTTTGTCTCTTTTTGCTTTTGCCTGTATCAAACTCGCACATGGTACTACTGAATAAAATTACATTCACAAAATAAAAAGAGGTCACTCCAAGGATTCAATGTAATTCTCCTCAACCCAGAACCTCATCTACTGATATGATTACAAAGGGCCACTGTATTAAAGGCTCAGTCACCTAATTCTCCCCTGCTTTCATTGGAGCATACAGGACCCCTACTCAGGGATGCCATGGCTAACAGACGTAATCTGCAAAGCCTTGGATGTAGAAACTTCTCTCCATCTTGCTCTAAGATACTTAGCATTGGGCTTTGTGCAAGATTAGTCTCTGCCAAAGTTGCATTAAAGAGTCCCAATGAGCCTCGCTTGACCCACATTGGACCTCATCCAAGACTATGGGCGGCCCATGAGCTGTGCTTTATACACCACAGCAGAGGCGTTAAAACATTAATACTGTCCACACATAGTGAAGAGGTAACCCAGGAGCTATACGGTATTAACATTTTATCGCTACTATGGCTACGGCGCTGAACTCACACAGAATAGGAAGTGAGCACCGGGCTACTGTCACTTCATCATGTCATACATTATAATTTCCCTGCACTGAAAATCCCACATAGGAAAAGCAATACATAGTTAATAATGAATAACAGAAGGAGGAAAGGAAGGAAAGGTAATCATCTCTATTCTGCCATTTTCTTGAGGGGAAATACATTTTTCTGTCAAATTTAAAGTTATGTACAAGTAGAAGGAATGAAAGAATGAAGAATGAATATTTAAGTATCTACAGTGTGCCGAGGAAGATTCGAGGACCTTTATATCCTAAATCCTCCCGACACCGTGTCAGAGCTGCTGACCTCACTCTTCAGCTGCTCTCATTTTAGACCATCTTGATTGAAAACTCTTTGTTTCCGAGACGATTAAAACCACGCGAGTCTTAAGCGGTTTCACTATCTAAATCAACATTTGCATTTTTTTTCCCATCACTTATTTTTTGCTCATTTGCAATCAACTCATGCTATCCCCCCTCCACACCACATTGCGTTTAGTAAGAAATACAGCTCTTATTAACCATTAGACAAAGAAATATTCTGTGTGCATTTGTACATGCTGCTCATTTTTAACACCCTTCAAGTACTAGTAAAAGCTCTTTACATCTACAGCACTTTTGGTATTAAGCGCAAATACATTTTCCTGACTTATTTGCTTCAGTCACCCCCTCTATTTGACCACGCTGTCTGTGCCGACTGCTGCGGCTATCACATACAAATTGATAGCCCTCCTTACTCTTTTCAAGCACACACACGCACACTCTTCCGTCTTCGATGCCCAGCTCCTCGCAGCTGCAGATGGCTTTAATGTGGCACTGCACAGGCTAGCACAAGCTAACTTCCTCAGTAAATGCAGATGGTGGGCTCAAACATGGCTGCCCATGTGCTACACCTGCTGCCTCCTTTTCATGCACGCATATACATTTAGCTCCAGTGTCTTTAACCTTCTCTTGATAACCCAATCTTTACCTTTGTTTTTTTTATTTTTTAAAAAAAAACCCAATTTCATCATCATTCCCCTCCTTGCTCCTCTGTTTCCCCTAATGTGTCATGGAGATGTGCAACGGAGACATAGCATTAAGCAAGCTATAATGTCTCCAAAACGATTTTTTTTTCACAGTGCTTCCTCTCTTCTGTCAAACCTGCCTGAAGCAATATGCTGTATATCACAGATGAGCAGCACAAATGCAATTGTAAAGACAGCTCTGAGTCTTTTATATGAATAAAGAGAGGGAATAATCTTTTGACATGTGGGCTGCACATGCCTTACACATCTTGTGGAGGCACACGTACAGTATGAGGCTCATTAATAATCATTATCCGCGGGTTACATCATTCAGCTTTCGAGAGCACACCCATCGCCTTAGCTGAGTCATTCGCCGTGATATGTTGTGCCACCAATTGTCTTGTATGATTTCTTTTTTCTTTTTTTACAATCTGAGAGCAGCATGAGTTTGGAGACGGTGTTTGCATTAACTCTCATCCAGATAGGAAAATTGAGATAAGATAAAGGAGTGCAAGGCAGAGGAAGTGACACACTGTGAGGGTTTAAATCTTTAATCAAATCAAATTTTTAATGTAAAAAAATTAATAAATATGAAAATTAATTGTTGCCTCCAATATGATCTAAAGACAGGCTATGGTTTTACATGTGACAGCGTATAGGCCTCATGCTTGGGAAACCCCTCTCATTTAGCACAAAATACAGCATCTCCATGTCTTTCAGACATGGAGAGGAGGCTGAATAGACTAATGAACAGTCAGGTGGCACTCCAGGGCCTGAACTACACCCCCACCCCCCATCACACACATATCAAACCCACATACACTTGCACACACATTAAAACTCAGTGGCTCGTCCGACCCCGGTGATCTGCACGACAGTCTAATGTCTCAGGCATCTGCTCATGTCTAGTCTGGAGGGTCTTTCCCACCCTGCCCCCCAGCCCAGGTCCACCGCACCACCAGTTCCCACAATAGTGGGAAAGCAGGCTTTTTGAGGGGGAATGGGTAGGGAGTGGGGGGGTGGCAGCAGCTATTGAGGTGGGGTGGGGTGAGAAAGAACGGGGTTGAATGATAATGTGAAAACGCACGGTGCTGTTCATTAACACACGAGCACTGCAGCTGCACATGTTGGCCCTGCACACACACGCTCACGTGTCTCTTTTTCTGCTCCAGGTCGCTGCCGGAGTCACCGGGGGTACAGGGCAGCTCTACGCCACGATGAGGACGCTTTTCCGGGCGTGCGCGTGTAGGGTTACAGGCTTGGAGCTGCTGACGATTTGGATTGCTCTGCACTTACACTGATATTTAGCAGTGTCATTTTGCCCTTGCCAGATTTTGGAAGACGTTTTTAGCCTTCCTGTTAACTAAAGTTTCTAATCACATGCAAGCACCGAAGCAGTACAATTACACCAGAAAGAGCTGTAATCAGTATTATTAAACGCCGAGCGCTAATGCTTAAATTTATATATGAGCTCTTCAATCAGCGTTAACAGTTATAATAAGGTATGTTCACTGCCCCATTTCTTATTTCTCAAAACTTACATGCAAGCGCAGTGTCTGCACTGCAACATGAATGATAAAATATCAGTATTACACACAAGGAACTGCTTCGTGAACCCGAACATTTTCAGACTGTAAATTTAATTGTTAAACTCTAATGCTTTTACTTTTAAAGACAGTCGTGTGATCACCCACAGGAGAAATATCAGGATCCCTGCTTGTCTCCTCCTCAGATTTTCGCCACACTAAGACGCTTAAAGATACTGTGGTAAATATCACGATGCAAATTTCCTAACAAAAGCCGTTTTGCATGAATTAATCTCCGAGGTTTGTCAGGTGGAAACACGCTGTACACCACTGCCTGGTGTGCATCAGGGAGTAAAGAAGCACCATGACAGGAGAGGATGGCAGGTTTCCTTCAACCAGTGCCAGCTCATTAATTTTGTTTGCTACCCAGCAACCCCCCCCCACCCCTCCCTTCCACCATCAACTACCACCACCCTTCTTCACCCACCACCCTCACATCACCCCTTAACTGCTAATTAGCAGGAGCTGAAGAAAGCAGAAAAGGGAGAGGCCATGTGTGACTGGGGAGGAAATGGGAAACTCTTCTTTCCCCTCATCCCTCATCCTTCGTCCTGTTCCCTTCCCCCATCTCTCTCACACACACAGACACAGTCACACTTCCCACCTCCTGGCCACCATCACCACCACCATTACCACTGGTACCCAACAGAAAGCTATGATGCAGCTCACCTCGTGTGCCAGCCCAGCCATTTTAGGTGTCACGGCAAACATCTCTCAAGATGGCTCCTCTGTGCAAGCCCTTACTCCGCAGGGTATCCGGCAAGGTCTTTGTCCCCCTCCTGGCACGGTCTTTGTCCCCCTCCTGGCACAGGCCAAGCGCCCACATTGGCAGTGCAGATGGCATCAGGGGCTCTCGGGCAAAAAAGGGGTGAAGGTGGGAGAGGGGAGGTCCTTTCTTTTTATTTTCTTCTAATGGTGGATCCTTTCAGGAATCCCACAGCTTTCAGTGTTATTCAGAAGCCTGCAATACGAGCAGAAAAATAGAAAAGAGAGGAGTAAAATATGAAAAGTGCTTTACACATCTTAAGGTATCACTATAGCTAAACACGGCCTACTGTACATACTGTAAACAAGCATAAATCAGTCAGCTATGGAAACTTTAAAAGCTCTCACCAGCTTTGCTTCTTCATAGCCCAGTCCCATCTCTTGTCATGCTTGTGTGTTTTTGTATGTTTTTGCCATAAAACCACCAAGAGAATCCTTCATATTATACAAAGTTCAAAGGTTAAATCAAGAATTCCTTGGACCGTCCCATATATAAAGCCTCAAGTGTTTTTATTCCCTTTCACTAAGAAGGCACGTCATGTTCACACGCTACCTATAACAGGGAAAGCTCTGGAAAAGACTTGGACCACGGCCTTTTCACATATCCAATATCTCGTTGTGAAACGAAGCAATTAGCCGCATTTGACCGCAAGCTCTACAGCAATAGGTAGTTAACAGAATGAATGAAAACTCATCTCACTTTGGTGCTCTTTAGGCTTTAGAGGCATTCTCAGGGTTGAGCGTATGCACCGAACAGCGCTGAAGTACCAAGTTGAAAAGTTCAGCTCCTGTCTACAGGATGGCCCTGGCCTTCTCATTGAGGCGAGACACAATGTATCCCAAAGGCTCTGAGATTTGCTACAGCTTTAAATACAGACACCAAGTGTTTTTATTAGCAGGGTGCTACACCACTCAACGGCATTATTAGCAGTCCTGCTGGAACAAAGCATTAGCTTCCCCTTTCTTTCTCCTGAATGAAGTTAGAATCGGAACTGCATGTTGTGTTTAAAATAAATGGCAAATACTCTTCAGCGAAGGAAAAAAGTAAACGAATGACAAAGTAGAGGGTAAATTGTAAAAGATCACAACCCACTCGCTATAGGCTTCCAGGGGAACATGCCAGTGTATCCTGAAGCAGGTACTTTAAGAGGAATATTGGAGGTCCTCAAGAATGAAAATAATAATAATAAGTGTGACCTGTTCGCCTGTTCACCTTTACTGCTCCTACTTCCCTTCTTATTAGACTGGATTTTTAATATACTGTTAATTAATTTTTGGCAATAAAGTTTTTCTCACATGATGCTTTACTGACATCAGTGGACCAATGCCTGCGAATGGTGAAATTTTGGGTCTTTGAGTCTCTACTGCTTCCCATCCAGCCACTGGGTGACCTGCTTTACATTCAACACCATGTTGCAAAGAACGTGAATAGACAACCCTGAAACAGGCTCAATTCCTAAAGCTCATATGAACCCTTAGGTTACACTGAGGGGCATAAGTTTAAAGGTAAAAGATGCCTGGGGGTAGAGTACTGATTGAGATGTTAGATCATTTTATTTGCACTTGTGGCTGTTTTTATATAGTAGGTTAAAAAATTAAAATATAAATTAAAAGTAGTATTGTTAGAAATTTGTTTTTCTACTCTTCTACCATAAAATAAAGGTTGTACGAAGCTGACATATGCTACAATGGAAGGCCCACAAATGCACTGGTTATCGGTGAGAGAAACTCTTTATAAATATAAATTCAGCACTAAAATCTTACTTTACACACTTCTAGTAAAACATTTTGTTGCCTATCTAATTCACGAATATTAACACCAGCCTCAAAGCAGAACGTTTTCTTACCTGTTGGAGGTGAACTTCAAAATCCAACTTGGTGACTCTACAGCCGGAGCGCCCTTTTCTTTCGGGTACGCACACACGGCTACGGAAGTCATTTCTACTTTCGGTTATCTAGCTTTATGACAGGTATTTAACACTCATACAGCTAGATAACCAAAGACAAAAACAGACCCCCTCTCTCACACTCTCTGATGCTGTAGCCCGACATGATGCTGGCGTGATATCTAGAAGGAGGTGAAGCTGCATTAGTAGGCCCGTAATATTCAAAAATACACTCCCAGATCATTTCTGCATCTTTATATTAAAATAAAAAAGGAGCAAAAGCTATCGTCTCTACATGGAGTAAAAGATGCATGAAACGCCGCATGTTCACGATACGAAGATATGCACTGTCTTTATGCTGACATATGTTGGTGGTTTGAGAAGCCGACACACATTTCTTGTCCTGCCGTGATAAGGTGTCTGTTTGAAGGCCTGCTGAATACAGAGATCAGCCTGACCTAATTGTACTCTACATGTGTGCAATTGTCATGCATCTAAAATGTAAAATAATAATAACAAATAAATAAATATTAACTCATTAGAAAAATCAAATCAGGCGTTTTGTACACACAACAGGCTATAACGCTTACATTAGCATATCTTGCAGGTAACACCCCTGTATTGCAGCTACACAAATCACAATATTTAGCATACAAATTCTCATACTTTTTAACTTCAAAATTTCTAGTGTAAACCCGTGCAGGAGCTGTTTGAAATATTACTTTAAGCATTTAGTTAGATTTAAAAAAAAAAAATCAACAGTGCTGAAAGATACTTCGATAATAACCTACAGTTATTTAGTTCATTTTGTAGGACAGACCTGTATTCTGCACAACACAACATCTTAACAATAATAACAAAAACAATTTAAGGCGAGATAAAAAGTATCACTATATGACTTGTAACAAACGACTGCCAAGGATAATTATTATTATAATTATCCATGGTCAAAACTTGGCATGTCGTTGTAATAAGATTAGGACTGAATATATATATATATATATATATATATATATATATATATATATATATATATATATATATATATATATATATATATATATATATATATCGTCCTTAAAGCATGACCGTGATCCTGACACCGCGCTTATGCAGAGGACTAAAATGATGCTAGTTCAAGATCAAAAGCTGACTCTCGTAAAATGAAATAAATAAATAAAAACCTTCTCAATCTAAATTGAGCTGGGGTTTGGTTGGAGGGGGTGGGTAAGATGTTTTAATTTGCTCTCGGCTCGTTAGGGCTCCTGGGGGCAAGGGCAGCCTACTTTTAATGAGAGTTGCAATTGGCCTACTTCTTCTAAAACTAGACACATCACAAGGATTATCCGCATAAACTAACGCATGAAACCAATTTGTTCCTTATCATAACAACAGGCAGAGGGGTGTAGCAGTCTATATTATTCTGGTAATTTAGAGAATAAGATTTTTCTTTTCTGTTTAAAGATCATAGCCTGCACCTGCTTTCGCAGAAATAGAATGAAACAGGGGGGCGTTTCTGGTGGTTAAATTACATATTTCTTCCCCGTGGATATTAACCAGCAGGTATACTAAGCAGAGATTGCCAGTGTCCCTAAATCCTCTGCGTAAGCCACATGGACATGACATTTGAAGAGATTCAGAGCCTGAAAAAAAAAAAAAAAAGATGTGATGCTCTGCGTGCAACTCTTCCCTGTTTCCACCTCAATTTCTTACCTGCTTCACAAGCAAAGCGAACTCTGGAGGCAAATGTCCCCAACTTTAGCTCGCTGAATTTTCCAGACTCATTTTTCTGCATTCACGTCGGGCCCTCGGTGAGAATCAGCGCCGCCGCTCACGGATGAGTCCGCTTTCATCCTCGGTGCTCCAGCTTCTGCCTCTCCTCCAGCCTGCGCGCTTCCTCTACCGTCTGATTACTCGCTCCCGCAGTGACGTCATGCCAGGACCAGGGAGGCTTCCTGACCAATCACGGCGGCCGTTGGCACCAAAGAGGGTCCGATATCAGGAAGACGTCTCACTCCTGGCTCTTTCATAACTCCATTTACCCCCCCCCCATATTTTCTTCTCTACTACCACCTGCAGCAGTCGTAGTAGTAAAACTACACTAAAAGGCACAGATGGATAAAATTATCTCACTTCCAGATCTGTTTAGTATTTGTTTTCCTAAGAGCTTTCCACAATATCACACCAGCTTAAGGAGCAAAGGACTTCTTATTCACGCTGTTTCCAAAAATTTGGTGTTGGCCAATTTCTGTCCCTGTTCCTCTGCAATGGGAAGACTTGGAAACAAGAAAAAATAAAATAAAAAGAGCATGTCTTGCAATCCTTTTAAAAATATTTCTTTATTCTTAAACCAAGATCACGTCAGTATTATATCTCTTAAATATGCTGTTATATTAGAGTACCGTGCTCTCCGCAAATCAATGTATATACGTATATATGAACACATTTTCATTTTCAGAGTTATGGCCCTAACATTAACGTTATATATATGGTTAAAAATCATTTTAAACAAGTCACACTTTGCAGCTTGCAAAGTCATAAAGCAACTATGGTGACCGCATGCAGCCACATTGTTTGCTTTGAATTTTTCCACTTCAGAAATGAAGCTTTTCGTAGATGCAGACCAAAAATCGCGCCTTTTGCAGAGTGTCTTTGGAGGGCTGGAATAAGGGGTTAGCTTTCTTGGTCCAATAAAGGATCTTTGATGGTTTGTGTGGGAAGTGTGGGAAATGAGCATCAGGGGCCATGGCCAAAAGCAGAACGAACAGTTCCCTAACACGGTTAAAAATCTTTTTTTGTTTACTTCTTTAAAACTAAACTACACCATAAATAATACACAAATTGAATGTGCTTTAGTTGTGTTTACAGCAAATAATGTTAACTCAACCTCTCTCAATAATTGATTTCACTCTAACTCCCTCTGCATTTCAGTTTCCTTCCAAATTTTACGGTCATTTATTTTTCAAAATACTTTGTTGACCTATGCAAAGACCAAGCACACTGAGCCTAAAAAAAAAGACAGTCTATTAAAACTGGCTGATAATGGCCAGTGTAAATTATGTATATATGCATTAAATATTTATTAGTAATGCAAAAATCCAATAGGTTATGTGTGAAAAACATTAATAAAAAAAGTTTGATTTGGTTCACCCTGATGCGCCTTGGCCTACCTTGTGACAGTCTTTGAGGTGTGGTGTTAAATCATGAGCAATAACTGTAATATGGATTTATCTTTTATTAAGCATAGCAACACCAATCCACAGACAGGATGTGCAATAAACAGTTCACAGCATTAAACGGAGCTCAACATAGCACACAAAGCCATTTGGGAACATGTGGTCTGTGGAAAGTGGAAATCTTGGGGAAGAGGCAGCTTACAAGTGTGTGTGTGTGTTGTTGGGGGGGGCATTATAATATTCCAAAGATGATATCTGGCTGAAAGACAGAAAAAAAATAGATGCACTTCATAAAATTAATGTGAAATGGCATGTTAACAGAACAACAGCAGATGCTACATGATGCAGCCAGTCACTCACACGCTGGGGGAGCTGCTGTCCCGTGAAAGAGCGGTTGTCTGGAGGATGGCCATCCTGCCCGCCTGCCTTGCAGCGTAGGTAGCCATAAAGGTTAGCAGCTTGGAGGGAAATGCTAGCTACCACCACAGACTGAGGAAGGCAGACAGATGAGTCTGAGAGAGACAATATGCAATCTAGCACATATGCAGAAAAGCAAGCAAAGGGAGTCTCACCAGCCATTTAATCTTCAGAGAGAAGAGGGAGGTGAAGAAGAAGAAAGTCCAGATGAGAGGACAGATGATAAGGCCCAGCCAGAATATCCTTTCCTCTGCTTCAGTTCCAGTGTTACTATTCCGGGACTTATACACACAGATAAGAAAGCAAACACTATAGGGTTAACACATCAAAATCGCTAATTTTTATTGCTCAAAATGCACAAAACACCCTCTTACTTTTTTGGCCTCAAATACCCAGAGGCTCTTTCCATCCTCGTCAATCTGATTCCACCAGCGCAGCCCCACCAGCAGACGGCCGGTCACATTCTGAAAACAAGCGTGAGCAATTAAATCCTGCAAAGTTAAAGAAAGCCACAGAAAAGTAACTAGATCACACAAACTGTTTGATGTCTTACCTTCACAGACCAAAAGTCAAACGAGAGCAGAGCTATGATCAGGACAAAACAGGACGCAAAGCTCTTGCTGATCCACTCACACAGCAGATAGACAACGATGGCAACCACTCGGAAGAACAAATGGAAAAAGGAGGCCATGGGGTGTCTAAAATTGTAGGGATTGGAAACGAGAAGCCTGATGTGTCAGCAGATAGCTTTCAAACAGATACAGGTGAGCATGTATGGAAACATAAAATGATAGTGTGCATGCAAAATGAGTTAACCTGCAGGATAGGTTTTATTCTGTGAATAGAAGGTCTGTAAACATTATCCCACCTCCAGTTTCAATTTAGTATTTATTTGCTTTGACCTTTGTGATCTCCAGTTAATGTTTCCAGTAGTTTTTCTGACACCACTTGTTTGTGTAGATTTAGCCTTCTCAACCTTCACAAAAAACTTCCACTACTAGTGATTTCTATGACTTCAGAGCTGTTTTCCTTAAATCAAGCAAAGAGATTCAGATCCATAACTGAGGTATCCACTGATGATCCCTCAGGATGAAATGGATGTATGCTTTGGAAGCATCATTTTAGGTACTTAGACAGCTCATGAATCCAGTTACATGATCACCTTTATCGGGTGGGAAGGTGTTCCTCTGGTCATTTAGGCCTTCTTCTACCACTTACTGCTGATCTAAAATTTTAGACTGTTCCACGTTAGTTTTATGGCATCGTAAAAAGCGCACTCCGCATGCTTATCCACATTTTTCTGCCATATTCATGTCCACTTGTAATGTGCTCAATGAGCTGAGTGTTTAAGAGTCCAGGCATGAGTTCTGTTATAGCCTGAACTGATACTTTTATGCCTGGTACTCTAACAGCTAGTGATTTATATTTAAACTAAAGCTCTATCAGCTACACAGCCCCCAAAGTACAACTGCATACAGAAAATATCTGTTTTCGTTACATGCTGGACGGGATTAAAAACAGGTGTTGACTATGTTTCTACCCTCTGAAATCCTGAAATTAGAGTTTGCCAAATGAGAAGACCAGGGGCACCTCCAGAATTGCTTCATGGGGTGGCCATAATAAAAATATTGGGGTGGCACACCAAAAAAGAATTTCCAGTTTTACTACGCTGTTTTCAAATAGGTTACCTGAAAATTATGGCAAAAAAAAAGAGACAATAGAAGAAGAAAATAATTAGTTAGCCTAGTTAATCTCCTGATTTTAGAGTTGATACAACTGAAAATGGGTACTGATGAAAACCATATTATTTTAAAATCCATAATAGTCTATTTCAATTGATTGATTTATTGATTGATTGATTGATTGGCTGGAAGTCCTAACCATCGCTTTAATGATTCTCAACAGAGCTGAGGAGAAGCTACTCAACATTCACTCTCCCAGAATGGAGTTAACTTTAAGAGTAAACCTGTTCAGGAAAGACAAATAAGTATTAGATCATGTAAGAGTGTCAACTGTTTCCTGTCTCTATGTTGGCCCTGAGATGTACCAGTGATCTTTCCATCTGTCCAGGGATTTGCACCAGCTTTTTTTTTTTTTTTTTTGCTCAACAAGTTTTCAAAAAAACAAAAAACCTAATAATGCAAAGCTGAAAAGACACTATGGAAGATAAAACAGCTGTTGTGTTGATATTTCCTGCAGTGCACCTTATGACTGCGCTTCTCCGCGCCCTCTCCTGCTCGTCAGCTGCAAAGTCCAGCTCGACATCCTCAGTTGCATCCGCCATCGTCTGCTAAAAACTGTTTAAATCACCCGAGGGTTTGTAATACAATCTCGACAAGGACAATAATCAAAAAAGATCTCCACTGGCACCGTGATCTGAGATATGTACAAATCAAAATCTACCAAGCAAATACCAGTTTTGCATGGCTATATTTGAACACTGAAACGAGCCAGGTGTTGCAGTGAAATAAGACCGACAGCGACACTGGCTACTTTTTTAAATCCACATCAGGAAACTGGGCTTAAAATATCTTTGATTCTTCACATACCTTACATATTTTGTGTTTTTCCGATACATTTTGACAACTACGCTACACTTCAATTAAAATAGCAATTCCGAATGAACAAAACAAACAAAAATATACGACCGCGGCAGGACTCGAACCTGCAATCTTCTGATCCGAAGTCAGACGCCTTATCCATTAGGCCACGCGGCCCATATTGCGATCTCATTATCAGTATTTTGCATTTTTAACATTTTCTTCATAGTCCCTGTGGTATTCGTGTATAGCACTTTTTAAAATGAATATTCTAGCGCTATCCATGCTACGTAATCGAATCGCTGTCCGCTGTGTTCATTCAATCAGTTCTTTCTGACATACCACTGCTAGAAAAATAAGTCATCCAGCCCGCACGGTGGCGCTAACGATTTGTTTGGCTTTAGGCATACAACCCCACGGGAAGGAATGCTAAGGTAGCTATAATTCATTCTGTAATGATTTCAAAAATATGTTTTCGGATACATAACACGATAAAACAGATCAGCTGGGTTGCTTTTGTAATAAAACATAGTTAGATTAAAAACTGCCTTTTGCTAAATTACTGAAACGTTAGCGTAGCGTCATGTGTTCGCCAAGTAAACATGCGTTGAAGGGTCGGTAGTGCAACTGCTACAATAATATGAAAAGGTGAGGCAACCAGCATTCTACGTTTATCATTCGGTGGGTAAAATGATAGAATTAGCTACGTAGTT